TTATTTATTTTAATATATTTATTTAAATATATATTTTAAATATATATATTATATACAACATAACTTCACTAATTTCGTGGTCCGCTTGACCAATTAATTTATTACAATTAATTAAGGTTTTTTAGTTGAGATAAAAGAGTCAATGGCACGAGCGTGATTCGAACCCACGATCTTCGGCTTGATATGCCGCTGCTCTACCACTTGAGCTATCGTGAACTCGACCACTCGGACACCAACTTCCCATCTCAACCCCACCTTTTGAGTTTTCCCTCCTTTTTGCCATTTTTCAAATGTCATGGAATCGGATTGGATTGGAAAAATGGCAAAAAGGAGGGAAAACTCAAAAGGTGGGGTTGAGTTGGGAAGTTGGTGTCCGAGTGGTCGAGTTCACGGTAGCTCAAGTGGTAGAGCAGCAGCGTATCAAGCCGAAGATCGTGGGTTCGAATCCTGCTCGTGCCATTGACTTTTTTATCTCAACTAAAAAACCTTAATTAATTGTAATAAAAAAAAAAAGTTTCAAATTGTATGCCTATGTATATTTTTCAGATGAAAACTTACGTTTTCCCAAATCCCGTTTGCTGCCTGATCGATGCTGCCTCCTACTTCTATCATTTCACCACTGTATCTGTAAAAGGGTAAAATTTAGAATTAGTCCACAAAAACTAGATACACTTAACACTTATGTGAAGTCTCCTTGCAATGCACTGCCTTTAAAAATTCAACATTTTGGGATTGAAATCACAAGTCATCATAGTGCATGTGTTATAACATAAATGATGTAAATGAGAAATATGAATTCAAATGAGGAACACTAAAATATTTTTTATCCTGTGTTATCATAACACACTTTAAAAATTGCATAAGAATAATAGTTTTTGAAATGAAAAAACACTATGCTCCAAAATAAAAACTGCATAATTTGTCGACATACCTTACATAACACCATGTAATAAGTGTAATTAAAGATACGCCCATGATCAGGTTGCTTGTGTTAGACAAAGCATAGAGACCGACAAGTCCTAAAATTCCAGATAGGATGTAAAATATGACGGCAATCGCAAAGAATACTGCAGGAGTTCTTGCAGCTTTGAAAATATTCTTGCTCTCGTTGTGCAACCTGAACTGCCCGTAAAGATCGTCCATATCCTGAAAAAAAGACACAAATAATCCATTCGTGTATGTAAACTCTGAGCATTAATTAATGTCAATTTGTTCACTTACACTAAAAACTAATCTGCCTTTTGTTTTTTCGTACAGTTCACTTACATTAATAGGCTTACAATAGTACATTTGTTATTATATTAAAAAAAGATAAAAAGACCTTATTACTTTCACTTTCCCTTTTAAATCGTCAACATTGGTTTAACTCGGAAACCTTTGTTGTCTAATACAAAGAACAGGTTTTATTCAACATAGTGATCAAGACTTATTTTATCCTGACAAATTTAATATAATAAACAAGCAATATTTAGAACTTTAATGCTATTTTGAAAAACTAATATTAGAAATGTATCCTTTATCAATATGAACAGGACTGTTTGCATTATTACATGAGATATTATGATCAACTCTTTACATAGCAAAATTACTTGTAACACATCAAACTTTCATAAAAATAACATTCTGTAATCTAAACTTTTTATTATTGGAACATAAACTAAAGGGCCAATTTTATTGTAGGCGGAATTAACGAACACAATGTAATGACCATAAATGTTTCTTTAACCATTCTAGTCTTGAAACTTAAGTTGTTTTTACTGTCATTTTCAAATCCAATGTGCATACGACTAACCACTTATATTGTAATTATAAAATTAAATAATATCCCGAGTGTTCAGCAAGTTTTCTATGGGATATACCAAAGGAGACAACGTACACAATAGAAATTGTTTAAATGCAATGATTTATGGAAATGTTTTATTAGTAAGGTCCATAAAACAATAAGTTAAGCCATGTTAATATTTCACAATTTAAAACAATAAAAAAACAAATGCAATAATGAGTTATTCACTCTACTGACTCTATTCGATAGAATATCAATTTTAACGTCGATTTATTATCGATTTTTAGACATTTTGTAATAATTTTAAACAATATTGTCTAAATAAGTTTATTAATTTACAATACTTGTAGTTTAAAATCCATACATAAAATAATAAGAATAAATCGAAAATGGCAGAAAATAAATGTATTAAAGCATATTTTAAATTAAAAATAAAACCTTGGTGTTTTAGTGCCAGTAGATTATTTGAATTAAGTATAAGAAAAGTTGCAATTGTTCCTTTATAATAAAAATTTTCATTTAAAAAATAGTTAACAATAACAAACAGAACCACAAGTGCACACTTAAAAAATAAATATAAAATTATTGTAACACATAATTAAAATCCACATAGATAAAAAATATGCAACAAGAAATAAGCAGCAAAACAAGGATCATAAAACCTACTAAAGAAAATACTTCAAATAAAAAGTCTTTTACCCTTAGAGACCGATATAATAGTCTTAATTTAAAAACTCCATATATTTAAGGGGAGGGTAGGCCCATCTCATTCTACACTCATATTATTCAGTTATCACCAGGAAAGGCAGTCTAAATAAAATCACTATCCCTCTCTAATGTATTTAACATTTCAGTGAAATATTTAAAGCAGTCATAATAATAAGTAGTATTACAAAGTAAAATACATGAAATAAAACGAGATAACACTATGCAATATTTTGATCATTGCCTCTGAACAGGCCAACTATGTATTTTTATGAGACTGAAGAAGCTTGGGCCTACAGTTTATTCTATTGTTTATGCAGTTATACTACTATATGATGATTTTTTTAAAATTACTTACAAATTACAAGAATATATAACGATTTTCTTATCTTGAGCAATTTTTATTATTAAATAATTTCCAATTGGGCACTTCATTGATGGTAAATTTTCAATTATATTGACTAGTAAAGTAAGTCCGTAGCGTTTTTTAATAATTTGATTTTATCCCTTTTGTGTTTTGAAGCAATGTTTATTTGATCATTATTGTTTATACAGTCTGAAAAGTGATTAGTTAAGGTGTTTTTAGTTCCGTACTACATGTTGAATTTTTACAAGGTGTTTTGCTAATTTAAAATGAAGGGGAAAATAGTGCATTTTCAAAATTTGATGGGCTTTTAATTGCAATTGCAAAGGAATTGCTTCGAAAAAAAAAGAAAGCACTATCTGTAAGTAGTGTTCACAAGCGGAAATTTTGATTTGGAAGACGCAAAGTGCTCTGGTTGTCGATTGTTGATGACTAAATTCAAGTTTTTGTCACAAATAACCCACATTCAACATGCCGACAGTCAGAAGGAACCAAAGACATCAGCACATATCCTTTGTAAATGTGAAGCATTAACCCGGTTACAGTACAGCCTCTTCAGTAGGGTATTTTTCATTCAAAAAGAGGTTTGTGAAGAGGAACCAAGGAAAGTGCTTAGTCTTAAAAGAAAAAGCACACTTTCCAAGGTATAGCTATAATTTATAGGAGTTCCACAATAGATCTAATCTATTTAGGTCACAGTGTGTCATAATTCTATATCAACCCCCCACCCTATAAAAAAACCCACACTTAAGACAAGAGACATCGAAAAAACACTTAAAATATCTCACATAGAAGTGTGACAACACATCTGGTAGCAGCTGGATATGTTTTTTCAGAACGATATAGTTGGGCTTTCTCACATGTTGACTGAGAATAATTTTTTGAACTGCATTTCCATCTGCAATTTCCTCCTTGAGAAACTGCTAAAGCCATTACACACCAAGAAAGTAATGTGTATTTGGAAGAAGGTTCTTCATGCTTCTTCTACTCGACCAAATCGTTAACCCTAGTATACTGCACACTAAGAGTGTTTAAAATCAGCAATTAACCAAAAACTATTGCAAAGGTTCTATCAGGATAACACTCTCTTTGTGTCACCAGAAATTGTTGGAACTTAGCAAGGATGTGCTACCCAACCTGAAATTGCTCCTTAAGATATTCTTAAGATACTTATTCCAGGATCTGCAGAACTCTAACACATCAAGGAAGTTATCGCTCAAAAACCTGAGAAAATCCGGAATGAGGAAATTGCAAGCAGGAAGGTGACAACAGATAGAGGAAGAAAATGGTTTACATATTGTTGATGAAATCTGTCCACAAGTAGCTGAAATTTTTAGTATTTACCACCAAAAAACGTTTACGAACTTATTTTACGACCCGATATAATTGTGTTTTTTCATTCTGAACAAAATGCATTAATATATCTACCTCTTTTCAAAAACAATAATTTTTAATTAATTTCTTAAACGGAATAACCGCTCATAAATTATTTGTATTATTACGGTTTTATTTGTCTTTTACATTGATTATAATTACATCACAGCCAAATCTGTTTTAATAAGTGTTTCCTTTGCTGTCTTTCACGCTCTTATATACTTGATTTCAAAGGTTGTTACAGTATGAATTATTAACCCACATATTTAGGACAATTTCAGTTTCTAAAATTGAATGATTACAAGTTTGATTTTAAAAGTAGTAAAATTTATCACGTATCTATAGTAAGGAAGCTCAAAAATGTATTTCCCCTAAATTTCAAACCTGTCGCTAGAAAATGTTAAGTATACCACATAATAAAATATGACAAAAGCATAACATTATGTACATTTAAAAAAAAATTAATTACATTAATATTAGGAATTGTCCAGACAAATAGAAAGCACGAAGAAAACAAGTAGATTAAACAAACAAGTAACAAACAGCAATAAAACAAAAACAAGAGATAGAGGGTGCACTGATAATTTTTATTTATACCATAATTTAGTCAATTTTTTTTTTTAGTGCCAACCATAATAACTGTATGATGATACAGGGGGAATATACGGATAATGTTTTGTCTGTGCAGCAACAAAGGCAATTATCATAACAAGTACAGAAAGTAGCAGAAAAAACTTCACAGGGTATCCTATTTGGCTGAAGAAGTTTTTAGCATCATTACGCACTTGGAAATTGAGATACAACTGATCCAAATCCTACAAAAATATTATAACATCAATGGCACAGTCAGAATCAAGCGAATGCTTTTATTTGCATTTATCTAAAAGACAGTTTTCAAGAGTGCTTACCAAAGAACTATATGATGATGTGCAAAAGAAATTCATTCAAAATGGAGCCAGCAGATATATGCACAGCAAAGTAATTCATCAACTTTTTACACCACAAGTCAACCGTAAACCACAATATTGCACAAAACTTGATATTTTTCCAAGCTAATTATACAAAGCTTTGCTCTCAAAAGAAAACAACCAATTGTAGAGACATCACATATATAATGCCTGCATTTAAAAAAGATTCAAGATATGGCCAACAGAAAAAAGAAACTGGCAAAGAACAAATTGATTAACTAAAATCAATCTACTGAGCTTTTTTTAAATGTTAAAACAAAGATTTGCAGTATATGCTTGAAGCATAATATTGGAAAGTGCTTGTTGTTTTTTTCTCGGTATGTAGTTTGTTTATAAAAATGTACAAACCAGAAGTGCATTGATTAAATGATAATGTAGTGTTTTGGTGTGAAGTTCAAATTAATGTATTTATGTGTGCATTATTTACAGACAAATCAAATTTTAAATTGTACTCAGAAGTACATATTGAGTATTAGTTACACAGCTGATCAGGGGATTGGTCAGAGTATCACAATCATCTTGGCATAATGAGCAATTTATAACTTTTCTTATCAATTATCACAGAGTTTGATCAAGAATTATTACAAATATATTAATTTAAATTTTAATACATTTTTGTGTTAAAAGTAGACTATTGTAGACTGAAATAAATAAATATTTTTCTTTATAAGCAAAACATTAAATTGACAAACAAATAAATTACATACACTGACCAAATGTTTAAAAAAATTTAAAGATTTAATTTGTCAGACTACTGTTTACTGTTATTAATTGTAACCAATTTATTTTGATGCAGAAATACTTATTTTGAATTTACATTCATAGCCAAATCAAAATTCAGAAATAAAAGTTTGTTTGATGTTTTGTAATCATAAAAACTAATAATATTTCTAAATTACACTAATTTCTTTTAATTAAAAAAAGTTTTGGATTTCTTCACGTTCTGCGAGGTGAAGAACCTTGTTGGTCTGGCAGGCAGACGCATTTCGACATTTTGTCATTTTCAGTACGTCTGCACCAACCTAGCCAGAATAGCAAAATGGTACTGACCAAATTACAAATAAAAAAAGTTACTAATACTATTATGAATAATCACAAAACATGTCATATTATACAAATGTAAGAAGGATCTCAAATTGATTCAAGCCAATAAAAAAAATATATATTTTAGTAAATTAAAGCTCCAAATTGAATTTTCAAGTGTGAATGAAGACAGGTGCACTGTGGCTAAATCACATCTTTTTTGTATTTTATTAAATAACAAAACTATAAACAGTACCTACAATACTAAACATACAGTGCTGTTTGTTTTATTTTTCAATCTACTGTTGTTTGCTCGAATACGATATTATTTTAACAGGGTTTAGAATTAAAATATAAAATTTGAAGTTTCGGTTTTGTGAATCATTGTATCTCAAGGATAGTTGAGCCAACTTCCATTTTTGTTTTCATATCCCCCCCCAAAAAAAAAGATTAAAGAAACATTAATTGGCAATTTTGACTGCTGATTTATAGGAGAAAATTGTTTGGTTTTTGTACTACTAAAACTTTACGTTGCTCTGGCTGCCTCTGTAGCGCTACAATTGCAATTGAAAGGCAGCATTTCACATAAATTTTAGTAAGCTTTTGTTCGGAATACTTTTGTCATTATATTTAGGAATAGAATTTTTCATAATGAAAGGAAATAACAAACATTAACGGCTTATATGCATTTTAATTTCGAAAAGGAGCTGTAGAGGCCCATAAAAAATATGTGGTGCCACAGAACACATGTGCCATATTTCAGTCTGGAGATTCCAATGTCAGTATGCATGCACCCTGCGCAGGTTGATTTGAGTGTTGTGAAAAACAACTGTCTAAAATCCATCACAAGCATTGCGGGAAATTGCTGCAGTATTAAACATATCCCAAGCTGTCTTACCAGGGTATATCCTTTTCTGGAGGATTTTTTTTCTTTGAAGTTATTATTATTATTATTACGACTAATCAGTCTTATTCAGATTTGTTGGTTAATGTCAATTTTTTTTAAATAATAAAATTAAACAACAATAACAAATTTAAAAATTAAATAATGAAGTTTAAAAAAATGTAAATTTTGACCGATTAGTGTTAATAATCCAGTGTTGTAAATAAAACAACTTTGTGGGATATGTATCAAAAATCAATGTTTGTAAATCACATGTAAACACTGGAGATGAAAAATAGGTTCTATTTGTGTAATATTTAGAGACCGTTAAGTAATGATTATTTATAGAGATCATGAGATGCGGTCTGGTGTGATGTAGGCTTAGAAAAACATTTTCTTTATTGTCACAGATGAGGTGTTAAACCCCCTTTATAATATTTCATTCATACTATTCTCTTTCGGCCTTTGAGCCGTCGCCAGGACTACCTGCTCAAAAAACTAGGACGCTCAGGAGTGTCCCCTGGCCAGTTGGCACTATTTCATCGTTCAGGAACCTAATCTGATTCCACAATTTACCTGTTTTCCACTTCTTACATAATATTTTATATAAGTATTCTATAACAATTTGTATAAGTAAAAAAATCTGGTAGTCAAAATGAGTTGGGTGAAACACATTATACATTAGCTTGAGTCAATCCGAGGCCAGATAGAACATTTCCTCACAAAGCTGACCTCACCAATCATCCAAGAAAAAAAGGTGGCTAGGACGCACCTGAGCGTCCCCACCAGCCCATTGGATTTTAAGATAGGACATGCCTAAGCGTCCTCTGTATTGAATGTGTTCAAAAGCTCTAATGCTTTACTAGGATTCAAACCCAGAACCGGTAGCATGGCAAATATGAGTCGGATGCCCTAACCACTCAGCCACCGCAATCCCAGTGTATACACAAAGCACCCAAAAAATTAAAAATACAAACAAAATCTAATATGTACTAAATGTATTCAATAAAATGCGTTTGATTTCACTCATAAAAACCGAACAAACTTATTTGTCAACCCAATAAATGAACTAACAAGGATCAAATATTTAGAAATATAATCTATAAACATATTTAAAATCTATGTGATAACACCAAGAAATTTGATCAAATTACAGAAAGACTTCACTAATAATATTCATTTTTTAATAAAACATCATTGCTACCTATTTGAAAAAAAGACAATGTTTTAATATTTCCTGTTTATTTTCATTGCATACTCCTGATGTATGATTTTTTTTTTTAAGTCTTAAACTTAATACTTTTTAATTAATTTGAAAGATTATCTTAAAGCTTAGTTTTTAATTAAAAGCAATCAGAATAGATTAATTTAGAGAAAAAAAATTGTAACTTTAAAGACAATGTAAAGAATATACACAATTATATCACAAAAAAATGTGCTGGCATAGACAAGTCATACTTAAAGCTTATTTATACAATTTAAGAGAAAGTATGAAAACTAATAAAAAAATCTTTGTCTCCTGATCCAATAATCTTTTATTAATACATAATTAATTAACAAGATTTTGTGCTGGATCTCAGTAGGTATCAGAGATATACACATGGATTTCACTATTTTTTAAGGCTTAGTTTGCCCATCATTAGTTGATATTAAGTTATTGTCATTAGCATTTCAAGTTGTATGTATTACACTTTCCTGTTAATTATATTCCACAAACTATTTGTTACTGCCAGACAGTTAACTAACTGGTGTCTTTAAATGACATTTAAAGACAATAGGATTCTAAATTAATAAGCCTTTTGAAGATTAAGCTTAGTGAATTCAAAGTATGAAGGTACAAGGGTAGTGCTAATTCAAACACCATAAGCTAAGCAATAAGTGCAATAACTAAGCAAACTAGGAGGAAAAATCCAAAACAAAACTTACCTTGTCAAGTTTAATACGGTAATTTTCAGAAAATTCTTCACCTCCCATTTTTCTCTTGCTTTTAAATTGATCCAAGGCCATAGTTTTAATTCTTTGATGCTCGGCTTCAAGGTGATTAGAGCTTACATAGGGCTTTGCTCCACCACACACGCCTTCCATTAAAGTATGGTAAGTTTCTTTAGCACTTGCCACGGCAGATAAATTATTAGCTTCTGCAGTAGCCTAAGAAAGAGAAAAAAAGAGTAGTGTAAATTTCGAAATTCTAAGAAACAAATCTGATTTAAAGTTATGCAACTTACAACAAGCATAGATTTGGGTTCAGGAAGCTCATCGCCACTATAAATATTGATATATGCTTTGAAATATTCTACCAAATCTTTGGCTTTCACTTTTTGGCCATCGATGCGTTTTAAAGTAAGGTTTTCAGGAGCAAGTAATAAAGGCACAAATTTAGACAATTGTTCAATAAATTCTGCTTCGATATCTAAAAAAAAAAAAGGCATAATAAAATGTAGTAGGAGTGAAACTGAAAACTAGTCCTTTCTAAAAAGCCTCTAATTTTTTTCCCCCTCCGCATATCCAAAAAATAATTGAATAAACTTTGTGTCCCTGGCAGACAAAATAAATTTTTTATATAGTGGTCTTTTTCAAAGGGATCTGCAGGTGTTCAGAATTTGTACAAATGCATAATAGGGAGAAAAAATTTGCATTTAACATAAGGTAAATGACCTAAATTATAAACATTTTTCAACTACACTTAGTAATTATATCAACTGTATATCTTTTACTTGAACATTATATAACTTTGTTTATAAACAGCATTGTTTCTCTACAGATAAAGGTCCCATTATCAGACATTTAAAAGAAGAAAAATTACCAAACAATGCATTCATTCACTTCTTATCTTATCAAAAATGAACGTTTTAGCACAACTCAGTAATACATTCCATTTGAACTTGTGACCTCTGTTATTTATGATTAATTATTTTTCATGTCAATCCAATTAGAAAAAATCATTTACCTTTGAGACGGCCATCAAAATTAGGGTTTGTTGCTACTTTTAGGCCAGGGTGAGGCATTAAAAAGCAACTTATGTCTGTAAAACAAGACCTGATGTGTCGCCTAATTGACTGCAATTCTGGATGCTGCTTATCAGACACCTGAACAAAAAAATACAATAGAATAAAAACTACCAAAGGAACAAACTCTGTTAGTAGTTAAGTATTTACCTGTAAACGCTTTTCCAAAAGTTTTTTGCCACCCTCTTCCCCATACGGGGCTTCGTACGGAAAACTCCAATCCCTCACAAGAAACTGGAGCTTTTGAAAAGGCTTCTGATCGCTGCTTGCGAGAGCAAGCCTTCCATACTCAGTGAATAACTGTATAACATATACATTTATGTTTACAAAACGTATCATTTTTCTTGGCTGGTGAAATGAAGACATATATTTAAAATTAGGAAAGGGCCACAGTTTTATTTTTTCTCTTATTCCCAAGTTATAAATAATTTAATATTTAAAAGATAATCATTTTGCTGGTTGTGTGCTGTTAAATGTGAACTAGACCGTCTTATTATAGTTAATAATATGTATTATATTATCTATAATAATTTTTAAAAATTTAATAACAGAAATTAGCAATTGTTATCTCAATTTGCAAACCAACAAAAATCACATAATGAAAATATTTAATATTTAGCAAGAATTTTTTTATATATTGAAAGGACCTTCTTACCTGTAGGTGTTGCAAATCATCTTCTTGGATGTTTTGACTTATGTTGTAGATTTGAATTGAGCTTATCATGGTGCTGAGGGCAAACACTGTTGCACAATCACGTACAGTACTCTCGCTATCGAATGTACCTTGAGTGTCGAGGAGGATGATTGCAACCTACATGGACATCAAAAAATAGAATAAATTTTTAAAGGGCAATTTGATATTTGATTTTTTTTTTTTTTTTTTTTTTTTTTTTTAATCACACCTTTTCATTTTTTTCCAAAGTAGTCAAAAAAATTTCAGACCACATAAGGATTCCTGTAGTATCACGTTCTGATCCTCCTCTCCATGAAAACCCTTCAAGTGGTACATCCTTAGGTCCCATCCAATGACCAACTTGTTCCTCTTCTTCCTCTTCATCTTCGTCTTCACTATCAGATTTAGATTTTTTTTGTATAGAATAAGTAGGGTACTAGGGGGAAAAAAATAATATGAAATGCCTAATTTTATAATTCGGAGTTTATGTTTTTTAATAATAATAATTACCGTTGCTTTCAAATATCTCAAGAAAAAATCTAAAATAAAGGATTTTCCCTTCCGAAAAGCTCCTGCTACGGAAACCACAACGACATTACGGTTTCTTATCTCAGGCTGAAGAAAAAGCCGTTGTAGTGCTTCTTCGTCCAACTCAAATTTGTGGTCTGGTTTGGAGAGCACTATAGGTACTGCTCCTTCGGTAGTCTTTTCTATAACAAAAAATAGAAAGAGTTGTTCAAATAAATGCTTGAAAATATTTTTATCTAAATGATAAATTTGAAATTGCTAATTCATATGTTGTTTTAAGCACATTTTCTTTGATTGCTTACTTTGCAAAATATTTAATATAAAATATAAGTTGCATGAAAATTTATGTTAATTCACTAATTTCGTGGCCCGCTTGACCAATTAAATCATTACAATTAATTAAGGTTTTTAGTTGAGATGAAAGAAAAGTTAATGGCACGAGAGGGATTCGAACCCACGACCTTCGGCTAGATACGCTGCTGCTCTACCACCTGAGCTATCGTGACCTCAATCCGCTCGGACATCAACTCCCCATCTCAACCCCACCTTATGAGTTTTCCCAGAGTGAAAAATGGCAAAAGGAGGGAAAACTCATAAGGTGGGGTTGAGATGGGGAGTTGATGTCCGAGCGGATTGAGGTCACGATAGCTCAGGTGGTAGAGCAGCGGCGTATCTAGCCGAAGGTCGTGGGTTCGAATCCCTCTCGAGCCATTAACTTTTTTTTTCATCTCAACTAAAAATCTTAATTAACTGTAATGATTTATGTTAATATATGTTTGTTTTAAATTGAAATACTGTCAGCCCTCCTATAACACGGTGAGTGCGTACCGCATTATATGGAAACCGCGCTATAAGAAACTCAGATTTAATCGTACAAACCAGGATAATTCGTAGTGTGTTCTATGGAAACCGTCTACCGCGTTGTATGGAAACTGCGCTATAAGAAACTCGGAATTAGTACAAATCACATCATTCGTACCGCGTTATATGGAGACCAATAAATACAAAAGACAAGATAAATTATCAATTATTTTTATTGAATTGAAGAGTTCATATAAGGATTGATAAAAAAAATGAAACAAAAACTAAACTAAAAGACTGTTTTCCAACAAAAACAATAAAGACTTTTGTAAAATTATTTATTTTTCAACACTCATCCTCGCTGTCAGATATGAGTCGCCTAACTCGTCTTCTTTTAATGGACAAAATGTCTTCCTCACTTGGTTCTTCTTCACATTGGTTTTCGATCGTAGCTTTTTTTTCTAACTCCACTAAAACCTCTCTATAGGGAGCTAAGCAATTTCTTAACTCTCTTTTAAACTTTGCGCTGCGCACCGTTGAACGATCAGTTTGAATGAAATGAAGTTCTAATTCTTTAGCCAAATTTAGCCCTTTTTCACATCTTGTAAATCGAGATTAGAAAGACTTGGTCACCAACAAAACATATGTACTGTGCAAGATCTCTGAGATCACTGAAACCGATGTCGTAAACGGCTATGAGATAAGCTGGCATGTTTACATAAACGTATTGTTTATGTATCTCGGCTGTGCTTTTGCGTAGAAAGTAAAACTTACATTAAAACCTCTTACAATATCTAGTTACTAGAGTCATTCATAGGCTGTGTGGAAGGGACTTATGGGATTCTGTTAAACGGAAACCGCGCTGTAAGAGTACCGCGTTCTGGGAGGGCTGTCGCAATTTCAGCTACGCGTTATATAGAAACCGCGTTGTAGGAGGGTTGACTGTATATATATGAAAAAAATGTGAAATATGGTAAGGTTAATTGCTGAAAAGTAATCTCAGAGATTAATAAATCTGTGTGTACTGTGAGATGTAACTTTGTTAAAGATTAAATATTTTACTTTTGTAAAGATAGTTATTACGCATTTCTACACAATCAGAACAAAGAACAACATGGAATTCTATCTCTATTATACAGAAATATCTGTATATCTCAATTATACATAGTTATTACTTTTTTTTTGGGGGGGGGGATTGAATAATAATAATAAGAGCAGGGTGAGGTCTGTTGTAGCAAGAAGCACTTTGTGGCCTGCAAGATCTTGACTCTGAGGCCACTGGGTTTAAAGCTACAGGTTTAAGATTTGGAAAAAAGAAGGCGAGGAGTCAGTCCGCAGAGCCCATTGCAGAAAAAGGTTGTCTCCATGAGATCATTCTCCAGAAGACAAAAAATTACCAAATCAAGTGTATGTTTATATGATCTGTGGTACTGAGCGTGGGATCCTGTGTTTTACGATTTACTCCTGAAAAGGATGATACGAATCTCAGCAAATATTGTGTAATTGGAGGCAGATCTAGGCAGGGATGAGCAGACTTAAGAATTTGTCTTTGTTTTATCAGACCTGATACAGTTGAGACTTTATTGGTTGTCATATGTTTCAGTTATTATAAGAACAATTTTAACAAGAAAACTTTAGTTCAATTAAATAATATCTGTTGATTTTTTTCTTTTTAGTTTTACACCCTAATAGTGAATTTTTTGTGTCAAAAATTAGCTTCTGTAGAAGCAAGAAGCGCATTGTATTTAGGTTCATTTGCATGGTAAGAACTTGGGTGGAAGCCCACCTTCAAAAGTAAGAAGTGCTACCTCAATCGGCTGTGGTTTGGATCCAGGATCCGTATCTTGCTTCTTTTTTTTTTTTTTTACATTTATCCTTAAAGCTATCCAAGTTAAAAGTGTTTAAATGTGAAAGGTGTTGCTTTTAGAAGATTAACCCTATCTCATGTCAATAAACAAATAAACCCAACTTGTTAACAGATAATATTAAAAACACAAGTTTGAAATGTATCAGTTGTTAAGTTTGTAATCACTATTACATATCAACAATTTAATTGTTTTGCTGTTACTACTCTTGTTAGTCAATCATTATTATATTTNGCTATTTTAAGTGATTTGGGCACCAGACTCATGTTTGCCACGCTAGCGGTTCGAATTCTAATTGGTAGTAATATGTGAAAGGTATTGTAACATAGTTTGACCCCCCGGTCCATGACATCCAAATGGTAGCTGGGCGATAAGCCTTCCAGTATGACAGAACTAAGTTATTTAATCAAAAAGCTGTTACATTAAAGTATACGTACTCATTTAATACGTATACGTAAAGTATTAAAAAGAATAAGAGTAAAAAGTATACGTTCTCATTTAAAATTTCAATATTTTACTGGCTCTGAAGTGCCCTGATAACATTTTAAAAAAGAGATAATATAAACAAATATATCTCAATACTATTACAAACAAGATATGTGAAAAGTGAAAACGTTTTACGTCTGTAATGTTATTACAAGTTTTAAGCTATTCGAATTAAAAGTTTGTAAATGTGGTTATTATTTTAAGGCAGACCTTATAACACAAAACATAAACATATCTGGTCCTAATTGACAAGCTCTATCGTAAAATTACATTTTAAAACATGTTTCCAAGTGTGGTAATGAATGGGTAACATTAAAAGGGATATCATCAACAAGACAAGGAACCAATTGTCAACAAGAGATAGAGAAAGTGTCTAAGATTAAGTTTGTAATGGATTGAATCACAATATACATATCTATATGGGAAGATAGATGTTTTTTTAATATAATATGCAATTAATCATTTCTACCATAAAGATAATTGATATCTTAATGTGAGGGACAGGTAATAATAAGCAATATGTTACACCCAAAGACAAAAAAATGCTTATTTTAATGTAAAACAAATAAAACTATGTGCATCAGAAAGTCATGACTTTTAATTGAAATTATTTAATTATTAAATTCACTAATTTCGTGGTCCGCTTGACCAATTACAAGGCACAATTATTTCATTATGATGGTTTCAAAGAAAATTCACCAAAACACCGGAAACTCATTCATGGGCACTTCAGAGCCAGTAAAATATTGAAATTTTGAAAATGAGAAAAGAAATACATTATCATAATTTTGTTATTCTTTGACTAATTTAAAATCTGATTGTGCCATCATTTTCAAAGTAAAAAAATCCTTTAAAACAGTGAGTAAAAAGTATACGTTCTCATTTAAAATTTCAATATTTATATATTGCCCTGATAACATTTTAAAAAAGAGATAAAAAGTTAAAACTAGATTAAAAAATATTAAAGACGTATTTTTTGGTTTTTCAATAATATTATCTGTTCAAGAGTAATTCAGCCAAGTCATCTAAAAAGCATACTTGTACAATTAAAATATTAAACTAATTTTTTAGATTTATATACACCAATTTGAATCATAATAGACGCCTCTGACAGTCCTACACCCTGAAAATTAGCATTTAAAAGCAGTAATCTATCAGTTTATTTAATTTTCTTCTTTGGTTAAGGTCACAATGCATTTATTTTAAATAAGGAAATCATTTTTTGTATAAATTAAAAAAATAAATAAATAAAATAAAAGACTAAGAAACCTATCATCATAAATTTACAATTATGGGTATCGAATCAATAATTTGGTCAATGCTTTGCTTTGCAATTTTGAATCTTTCCTGGATTGGTCTATCAGGCTTCACAAAAAATCACCCAGATGAAACACTGAAGACAGCAAAATGCCAAAAGACCGACTGACTAACCCAGTAAAGTCAGGCAGACCAAAATGATTGGTCATGTAAACAAAAAAAAAAAAAAAAAAAATTCAAGACAAAATCACTACGTCAATGTTTTTAACATATGAAACTGCAACAGGTTTATATTGAATTTTTTTATTTTATTAACTATCATGTTAAAACTATTTAAACAATTAGTTTTTATAATTATTTGTCATCCATCACAAACACTACTTAATTTTGGTTTGTTAAATTATGTTACAAAGTTGCTAACTGCCTTTGTAAAATATGGAATCATGCTAAGTTAGTTGCTTAAGACTAATCCACATCACTGCAAAACAATTTAAAAATTGAGACATCATCCTGTAGAGTGAGCGGTGATGAAACTGCAATTTGATCGTTACTAATCATTTTGGTCTCGACCTTGCTGTGATGGTCTGTTGATATTTCAAAAATGACTCGATTCATCAGAAAATTATCTAGATACAACATTGAAGTTGGCAAAATATTTATACAAATCTGACATATCAAAGGACTGGGGGGACAGCAAATTACATTAAAAAAAAATTGAATTACAGTCACTAAACCAACATTTCCAAAATTAAATTAAGTGTAGCAGGTGTCCA